ACAGCATATATTAACAGAATCATATCATTCTGCGATCATTTGCATGTCTGTCGTCTGGAAACATTTGATATTGTCATTGAATTGTACAAGGTCAAGATATCAGTCAGATATAAGCAACCAGAATTTTTTTAAAGTTACAACATACATGATTAGTGTTGTCATTAAATCTCAAAGAATATTTTTGTTACATTATGAATGTTAGTTTATTTATCATTAATAGTCTATGCAAACGCCAAAATGTAGCTGAAATATTGCCAATATTTAATCAATCGATCTATGCTACCAGTCTTATAGAGTAGGCTTTCCTCTCTAAAATCTTCTCCCTTGGAAATTGGCTTTAAAATGGGATTTTCCCTACGGAAAATGACTCTTGAGTAGGATTTCCCCTACAGAAAAACGGAAAACTGAATACGTTAATGTAAGATTTGAAATCTTACATAACCTATTCAGTTTTCCATGGAGGGATTTAACTCTACTTCGATTTCCTCTATAGCTACTTTTCATTCCTTGAAAAAACAAATCAAAAGTCTCTGTCGAGACTGTAGCTCTACTGACTTGTACACAGAGCAATAGAAAAGTAGCAGTTGGGACTTGAAACTTTACAACAACAATAAATGGCAAGATTGCAATAATACTACAACTGTTGGAGTAGCTTTAAAATAAAGGAGATGGGTGAACTTAGCGTGCAGAAAACCCACAAGCTTCAGATATATAAAAATCATATTCAAATTGTGAATTTAATATTTAGAGTAAAGTTCTTATCATTGTTTTTTATGAAATCATGAAATTTTTGTAATTAAAATTTATTCCTTTATAAACAAAAAATAATGTGGTATCCATTGGGTTCGAACCCTGGCAATAAAAATCCTGATTTGCATTCTCTATTGAGACTAGCACGCTAACTATACTACGCTACACAAGTCCCGATGAAGTGTGGCATTTAAATCATGTTTGTGATATGACCATTGACTTAAGGGACTTCAAGTATTTCTTGAAAAGATACGAAAGTTATGTCATAAAATTATATTTTTAAGGTATAGTGTCTTTTAGAAAGGCGTTATTACGCCTTTCCATTCTAGAAGGCGTTATTACGCCTTTCCAAAAGGCGTTATTACGCCTTTCTAAAAGGCGTTATTACGCCTTTCCATTCTAGAAGGCGTTATTACGCCTTTCCAAAAGGCGTTATTACGCCTTTCTATTCTAGAAGGCGTTATTACGCCTTTCTATTCTAGAAGGCGTTATTACGCCTTTCCAAAAGGCGTTATTACGCCTTTCCAAACGGCGTTATTACGCCTTTCTAAAAGGCGTTATTACGCCTTCCTAAAAGGCGTTATTACGCCTTTCTAAAAGGTGTTATTACGCCTTTCTAAAAAGCGTTATTACGCCTTTCTAAATGGCGTTATTATGCCTTTCCAAAAAAGATATGCTATTTTGAATAACCAATATTTTGCATTTAACAGGCCCGTGCTTTTTATAGCCCCCCCCCCCCCCCGCCCACACACACACTCCACTGGCCAAATTCGTGGGGGAAATACTCGGTAAAATTTTTTTAAAATGCAATAATTTGTCACAGCTTTACATACTGCAACAAAATGTTCAAGAACCAAGAAACCAATAGTTAATTATAATATTTAAACTGTAGCAAGACTTTTCCTCAAAAGTGTGTATGTTTGGAGGGGGTTTACCCCATTCGCACTCGTATTACTGGCCTACATGAAAAGGAAAATGCGTTATCTTATGTTAATAAATATAGAAAGATTTAATTAAAACCATCTTTATTTATGCAATTCTCTATATTCCTGCACATCTCACTGACACCTGTTTGCATTCGTATTAAGAGAAGGCAACACTCTACTCGTGAAGATCTAGAATATAGGCAGACATATCTTGGAGCTTTGTTTGCCATGTACAGTGTATTAAAATTTATGTCATTTGAAGATATTTTTCTCTCTTCTTGGAAAAAGCAGGCAACTATTTGCATGGGTATAATGAGCAATTGAAATCAATGACCCTTGGCAGAGGTGTGTCTGATATGAAAGAAGGACTTAGTTGGTTCAACATTGAAAATATATGACGCATTTAAAAATCTTTTTTCATGGAAATCTAATTGCTATCTGTTTAAATTATTTTTTGAGAAATTAGTCCTATATCTAATTGTGGAATTCATGTCCCAAAGGTACGATTTCTGCATACCCCCCCCTCCCCCCTCGGTTGGGCTAAATATGTTTAGTTATGTATTGAAAGTAAAAGGCGTAATAACGCCTTTTAGAAAGGCGTAATAACACCTTTTGGAAAGGCGTAATAACCCTTTTAGAATGGCGTAGTAACGCCTTTTGGAAAGGCATAATAACGCCTTTTAGAAAGGCGTAATAACACCTTTTGGAAAGGCGTAATAACGCTTTTAGAACGGTATAGTAACGCCTTTTAGAAAGGCGTAATAACGCCTTCTAGAATGGAAAGGCGTAATAACGCCATTTAGAAAGGCGTTATAACGCCTTTTGAAAAGGCGTAATAACGCCTTTTGGAATGGAAAGGCGTAATAACGCCTTTTCAAAAGGCGTTATAATGCCTTTTTTCGCGTTATTACGCCTTTTCGAAAGGAGTTATAACGCCTTTTAAATTTTTTTTTCTCTCTAGATTGATCCTAATAGGCTTTCGTAGGATTAAAACTCATATTATTAAAAATTAGACCATTTTGGAGTTAAAAAAACTTACATTTTTCATTTGAGAAATGATTTGATTTTCATATAAGCTTTAAGCCAAATATTGCCCACATGTTTTAAGCATTGATAAAAGTAAGGAATTCTACTCTGAAAAATAAAAAGACTGAGCAATACTGTAAAATCACACAACTCTTGGTTCGTGGGGATTTGAATTCGCGGATGAAAAATTTTTGAGTAGTTGTGTGTGAAACATTTTCCATTTCATGTTGGGTTTCTTCATACGTAAAAAAAAAAAACGAAAATTAAACCCAACGAAAATTTGTGATTTCACAGTATTCTCTGATGTGAGATTTCCCCTAGGGGTAATATTATTCTTATGTAGGGCACAGGTTCCGAAAGGGGATTTTGGGGAAATCCTACTTGAAAACATCAATATAGCTTTTTTTTATCTTTCTCTTTTCTCTAATTTCCATCTAATTAAAATTCCATAATTTTTAGGGGAGAAGGAAGTGAAGAACTGTAAAATTAATTCGAGGTTTTTGTTTTACCTCTCTTAAGTGCACTATATATTTTTTCATTATCATAAATCAATGTAAACCAATGCATATCAATCACCATGCAACTTGATCTATGACGGGAACATTTATTTTGATAACATTGAACAAAACGTAATAGTTTTCCGATCTAGTATCGATAAACTAAACCATATTATGCTCAATATCATATCTGATGTTGAGTATATCAGATTTCTTAAAACGAGTCCAATGCAATTGTTAATGGTTTGTTCGTTTCTGACCAATCAATTTTAGTGATGGTATCTTTTTGTTTTAACATACATAAACTAAAACCTTTGCACGCGATTTTTCCTCCAATTTAATATTAGGATTTCCAGTTACTTACTGCATATTCATAAATTATACAGTCAACCTCTTCTTAAAAATATATACGCTTTCAGATTACATTCACTTTGTATTTTGGTAAGAGTATTTTCGGTAAGTATACATGTGTATATGTTCATTAGATTCATTTATTACTGCTTTCAATTGTTATAAAGTTAAAAACCCATTGAGCTCGTTTTTGTAGGGTTAAAAGAAATTCACATCATAACGCGTTTCTTTTGCGAATGAACGCAAAACGCGCACTACAAAAAGCAAAAATATATATATAGCAATGAATATTTTTTTAATAAAGTTATTTTCTTATAACCGTAGGCGCTTCCCATGTAATTCTGTAAATGACGAATGACAAGTACTATTATATATAAAAATATCCCTATATACAAGGTTGATTTTATAGTAAAGAGGGGTATACCTATGTATATTTATCATTCGTCATTTGCAATTATATGAATTGCGTATGTCCAATACGCGTTAGCGTGGTATGAAAATTTGTATTTAAAAACAATGATTCATTGCTCATATATAGATTTTTTAACTGTCTGCCTTAATGCAAATGTGATTCTTTTATTATTCTTCGTGTAAGCTAAGGGATTCTAGTTCGGTTTCTGACTAGATGAAATTTTCAAGGTATATTTGCTTATTTGTATCATATATTTAGATGTACAGTGTTATTTACTAGAATGTAAACCATAGAATATTTTTATGGCCTCACCTACGTGTAAAGTTAAAATTAATTGATAAGAAGGGTATATTTAAGAGCAAAGGTCAGTCATGATTTAAGGAATAACTGTCTTATTTTTCGAATTCATGAAGTGATCAATGGATTGGCTTGTGTGATAATTTGCATAAACGCCGAAGGCGTTTATGCATAAAATTATCACACAAGCCAATCCATTGATCATCTTCATGAATTCGAAAAATAAGACAGTTATTCCTTATATTTACATGCTTTGATTCCGCCAATCCACGGGCTCCAAGCCTGCTTCTCTCTAGGTGTTGTCCCGCCCTGCACGTGGTTTTTTTTGGAACCGCGCCAAAACATTCATGAGGAAATTAATTACATTTACAATTGGTAATTTTATCTCGGACAAAGACATTGGAAATGTAAATATTGATTATTAAATGTCACTATCACACGTGTTCGTGTAATTTACCTTCCGAAAAGAAACACCCTTTAATTAATAATTGTTAGCTCACCTGAGCTGAAAGCTCACTGTTAACAAGTAGTGGCGTCTCCATATGAGTGAAAAATTCACGAGAGGGACGTAATAACATAGATACAAACAAACAAACAATTTGATTTTTTTAATTAAATAACTTTTGTGTTTCTAAGCAGCAGGTTCTCTCTTTTCTTCAGGAATTGTAAAATTGCAATATAGGGCAATTAAAGAAATAATGAATCGCACGTATTGTTTATATTTCAAATCACAAGTTTAAGATGGACACAGGGAATGATGCGGACGGGACAAATCGCCAATTAAAATGGTTTTGGGTAGTATTTGAGGTTATGACATGTATGCTCCAAGATGTTTTATGGAAAGAAATCCGTCCAGACAGATTAGCTGATGCTGTGATGAATTCTAAGCCTTTAAAGAAACGTTTTAAGAAATTGAATGCTTTGGATAAGATAATAAAAGCTAAAGATTCACAAAAGCCTTATGAAGACTTTGACATTTCTTTGCTGTACGTTTGCCTAAGAAACACATGTCCCAAAATCAAACCAAAAAAGGGTTGGGAACAAAAACCAAAAGACAGTGATACAACCATAGGAGACGACGTCGAACGAATTCGACATTTTAGAAATGATTTGGTGCATGCTTCAAAAGTATTTATGTCAGCAATGGAGTCGGAAGAAAACTGGGCAACTGCTGTCGATATTGGCAGACGTTTAGGAGAATATGTAGGTAGGAACGTTAACTATGAGGAGGAAATCAAACGATGCCAAAATAATTCAATTACTCCTGCAATGAAAACAGAGGTCACAGAAAAACTAGAAAGACTGGAAAATGAAGTATGCCTTTTGAAACTTAAAGTGACAGAAAGTTGGAAATTACGATCAGGTAAGTTGTAATTTCACCTCTTGATAGACAGTTTTGTTTTCTAAATATTGATGTAAAAATTTTAATTATATGCCATATATTTGTTAATCGATAGATTAGATTTCTGGAATCCATGTTCAATGGACCATTACACGAGCATTCACACGTGAAGAAGACTTAATTCATTGTAAATTTAATAATGGTCAAGTTGCTATTAATTGATTCATTAACTATAATTTATTCATTTGTTTATCTTTTTATTAAGAAGCATCAAGTCAGGCCGAAAGGAAAAGACAAAATCTTAGCATACTACAACATCATATTGTTCTAATTTTAAATGAGACATCGAATTCTATCAGAGAGAAATCGAAAAAATCAAAGATAAAGAAAGTTCTTCGTAGATTTAAAAAGCACGACGACGTTTTGAATCAATTGACAGAGACACCCGAATTTCAAGATCTTCTCAATAACCTGACTGGAAAAATATTGATGTGTGCGAAGGAAAAGAAAAACGAACATAAGATTTTTGCAATTTATTTGAAGTTTCTCTGTGAATGGGAACGAAAATATTCCTGTTCAATTATTTGTAGCCCCGGATGCATCTCACTTGCTGTGAATTTCCTTTCAATCGCGGAAATGGATTTATTTTTGTCGGATTTTGAGAATGGAAATATTTCATTAGATCTCCAAGAAGTACTTCTTTATCCACCGTTATTGTCCTTATTTGATCTCCAGGAAGGAGATTTGGACTTCCGCATTACAATTCTAGAGGTAGGAAATATCACCAGAAACTTTATTCATGAAAAGTTAATTATGTATAAAAATTGTATATAGCAATAATTTTTCAAGAATAAGACAATGTAAATTTTAACTTTTAAATTACACAATTGATATTTTGAGATTCTTTAAAAATATTGGTTTTAATGATGAAAACATTAAGCCGAAAAGAACGCTTATCCTGAAATGACACTGCACCAAAACCAGTAATTAAGTTTGTTGAATAATTCACAAATGTCTCACAAGGATGCTGATATGAAATTCTTCATGTCTGACGAAATTCTTTCTCCCTTTGAAAATATAGCACACACTTCGATTTTCATCGAAAAATGTAATTACATGAAAAGTGAAATCCTATGGCAGACCTGTTAGCCTTGCTTTCTGTTTTCAGTTAAGAAAAAAATTACTGACGAACTTAAGACTTTCTATACTGTAGATCACTATATTGTCGCGACACCATATTTTCGCGAGATAGATATTCAGTATTTATAAGCGAGACTAAATTTTCTATTTTTTCGATGTGGTTTCTATGGTATATAATCTTTAACAATATAAATAAACGCGAGAATAAATATTTTACAAACGGACAGTCTCGCGTAATTATGCAAATAAAGTTCTCGCGAATAAAAAGTGTTTTTCAGTATGCTCTACCTAAGATCAATTTCTAAAACGAGACAATCTATTGACAAATAAGTTGCTGAAACAAGGATATCAACATCTTATTTATGTTAACATTTCGCAAATTCTTTGGTCGATAAAATTTCCTTTTCTGCAAATACAATTTATCATTATGTTTGAATTGAATATGAATGCAAAATCATTTGTTTTTGGTGAAAAAAATGAAGATGAAATTTCAGAATATTTCAACACTATGCTGAATAGATATTAATGAAGCATTATATTTATAAAGTTCGTTGTCAGAATACCTGTTCACCTATCCAAAGTTTTTTGAATTTATTTAATTCCTATTCTAAAGCTTTGAAATATACTGTAAAAGATAATTTAAAAAACTGACAGATTTTAGTACTTTCTGACAGAAATGGGTTGTTATATTTTAATTATTTTACTTCATTATTATTATTTTCATAAAAATTTTTTTGGCAATCACTTTAAAGTGTTATTAGTAAATCCCTAAAAACTGCACTGTTCTATATTCTTTCTTCCTCTCCCTTCTTTCTGTCTTATGGCGAGCTTAAACAACACTGAATATGTTTTAGGACACAATATGTAAATATAGAGCTTACTCTTTCCCTCTCTCTCTTTCATAATAAACTTTTACACTGATTTTGAATATGTTTCAACTATATATAATTAGTTTATTCTGATTTATTTTGTTCATACATTCATGCAGAAGTTTGTACACATGCTTGTAATATGTGTGAAAGTTTCAATTAAAAAAATTAAGCCGAATGTTGACAGGTTATGTTTGCTCCTCCGTTGCACTTGTTCCTACCTTTGATGTTTTTAGAGGACCCTGATTGTTGTGTTCCCAATATGTGTATTTTTGAGCTTGATCAGTGTTCGTTATCTTCATATTTTTTTTATAAAACAAAAACCTCAAGAAATACTGTTTCATTCAAGAAAATACTGAAGTCTTTTGAATAAATTTTAATTTAATTTCAGGAGGATCAAGATGAAAAGTCGGAGGAAAATTTATTCAATGAAAGAAGGAATTTCCAGGAAAATAAGAACTGGAATTCTTTGGATAAATTTTTACACATTGATTGCAAAGCATTTCTTCGAGCATTGTTGAAACACATCCAGGAAGAGGATCTAGGAATTGCGACCTCAAAGGAATCACAAAGAACAAAATCACGCAAAGATACAGCAAGAGAAAAAAAGGAGGTTGAAAATTTGGCGTTAGAGGAATGTTTTAGCATATTTCGAAGCGGAGTCTACAAAGATTTTATATCAGAACCAAAACTCGGATGGGAGTCTAGAGAATTCCCCCGCGGTAATCAAACGAACGTAGCAGACGATATTTTACGGCTGTTCTTTTACTGGGAAGAAGTACGTTCTAAGAAGGACATGAAAATATCAAAAGCAAAGATGGCAGATGTTGTCTTTGTACTACAAGAAATAGCTGAAAGAATGGCAAGAATTTATGGAGATTTGGGTGTTGATCTCCAAAATAAAGTGGCTGCTCTTACAGGTAAACTTCGCCTCCTCAGTGTTTTAGGAATATTGGCGTCTAGAATGTAATGTTTTAAATGTGGACTTCTTCTATATCTCTAGAGAAAACTTAGTAAAATCAATTAAATTCAAAAATTTGTTTGTTGAAATTTGAAGACGACGCCTCCATCTCTGAAGAATTGAAGAAAACTGACGAAACCAGCGTAAAGGACTTCGGTGAAAAGTAATATTATGGCACTCTTAAATGACATTTCCTACGTTTAAAAATAAACCTATTACAAGTTTGGATTTATGTATTTTTATTAATAGTATAAAATTCTGATTTATTTTCCCTTATCTTTTCAGAGAAGATATGAGGAAATACAAAGAGTTTTTCGAGAATCAGGACCTAGAAGATACTAACGATCTAATTTCTTTCAAAGAGGTACAGTATGTTGGCGTGCGTTTTCTTTCATTGTCAAAGAAATTTCTCTGTTCAGTTTCTTAAATAGTCTATCAAGTGATAAGTGATGATAGCGAGAAGAGAGTTGTGTATTATTTTCTTCTTGCATCATTTTTTTTTTGCAGACTCTTCAAGACCTTCGCCACAAAACGTTTCGAGCATGCAATGCAGAACTTCTTCAAAACTATATGATGCCTATGAAACAAGCTCTTGAGCACGTGAAACGGTAAATTTAGCTACTTTAGGCAGTTTAACGCGCGCGTGCATAGATAGGCCCATGGCCTGTAAAATTTCTTAACGTATGTTGTATCGATAATTGATTACTCGGAGTTCCTTGGATGGCTAGTACATTGCATATAACCTCGGACGTAACTTAGGGTTTTCTACCATCTTACTGATTTAGTCGTGTGATACTTTTTGAATTTCTTTCAAATATCATATAGAAGCCAAACTTCCTTATCTCAAACCTGATGGGACTGAGGAAAAACCTCGAGATATCCGAGAATTCGAGATATCGAAGGTAAAATACTTAAAGAATAAGGAGTTGGGACTTCCCAATCACTTCGTCTTCGACATATCCATGGTATTTGGGATATCGGAGTTCGAGATACTGAAGTTCATATTTATTATTGTATCTGAAATCTGAGTTACTTTATGGCACGCCCAACACTTGGGTCTTGCTTTCGGGAGCATTTTAGATGTTCAAAGTAAATGGACAATTGATTTAAAATTAATTCAGCAAGTACTAGACAAGTAATAGACATTTTACATTTCATACATTAATCAAATCATAATTTTGAACGAGACGATTTGTGTTCTGAATTTAGTGTCATCAAGATAAGCCGAGAATTCGAGATATCGAAGGTAAAATACTTAAAGAATAAGTGAGTTGAGACTTCCCAATCACTTCGTCTTCGACATATCCATGGTATTTGGGATATCGGAGTTCGAGATACCGAAGTTCATATTTATTATTGTATCTGAAATCTGAGTTACTTTATGGCACGCCCAACACTTGGGTCTTGCTTTCAGGAGCATTTTAGATGTTCAAAGTAAATGGACAATTGATTTAAAATTAATTCAGCAAGTACTAGACAAGTAATAGACATTTTACATTTCATACATTAATCAAATCATAATTTTGAACGAGACGATTTGTGTTCTGAATTTAGTGTCATCAAGATAAGCCGCTGAAGAACGTTTTTTTCTAATAAAACCATCTTCCGAAATCTCTTCTTTCATTTCACAGAGTAGCCAAATCATCTTTTTGAATTGATTACTTGTGCCCCATGGATGTGCAGCAATGTTTTGATTGAAATTTTCATCCTGGAAATTATATTACTATGGACGAAACCTTAAAAATCAAAGTACTCAGAAGTACAGAGAGCCGGGCTCATTTACAGAGTAGAATTGATTTCTTACATGAATTACGTTTATATTCTGATGAAAAAATTATTTTAAAACTATCAATATAAATGACAAGCACTGACAGTAAGTTTTTCAATCCTAATACCACGGTCCGATTTTGTCAGAATCAGAATTAATCTGGTACCGCAGCTGAATGTAAACAAACAGGCCAGTCTGGTTCCCTCTCCTGCTTTAACTCGTATGTGTAGAGAACTACGGTAACACTGATTATCAATAATCCTTACGCTAATGAACTATGTTCTTCGACTTATGAAGTTTTCAAAGTCAATACTACTAATGTTTATTTTATATAGATAAAACTTCGTTTTATTTTTGTTGCTTTATTAAGCGTTTGTATTATCTCAAAAGCGGTTGAGAGTAAGAACTGTTTTTGCACGTAACTTTGAAATGGCGACTATGGGGTTAACATCCTGCCTTGAACAGGATCACATAAGCCGGTGTAAAGACGAATAATGACCCCCATCGAATAATGACCAAGGGGTCATTTTTCAACAAAAAATGACCCCCACCCGTAAAAAAAAATCATTTTTTGTAGAAAAAGGGTCCTAGGGGGTCATTATTTTATATGTTAGTCCTATAAAATAATGACCCCATTGAAAAATTACCCCCTTCAAAGTGATACAAAATATACACTCTTTGATATCTTTTTTACAGCGAAACTAATTTTTACATTTTCTGTAACCAGAAAAATACAAAAAGTCGTATGAAATAATTAAGAGATTCACGTAGTCTTTCAATGCTAAAATTGTGTTTGAAAAGAGATTCTTTAATTGTCAAGTAAATAAAATTTCTTTTTAATATTCCTCCTTATAATGTTTGCTTAAAGAATGATATTCCACTTGTTTTTGAAATCAAACCATGCAAAAATCAGGTTTAAATACTCTTTAATAGGAAAAATTAAATTTTCCGTCATTTCAACTTTTAGTTTGTTTAAGTTTGGCAAATCCTATTTGACATTGAAAGAGGAAGAAATTTTTATCCCCCCCCCCAAAAAAGAACATAACGTTAAATCAAAACAAGAAAATAATAATAAATGAAAAGCAAAAATATAAATAAAACTCTATACCTTTCAATAATTCTGAAAGAGGCTCTAGATAAAATATTGAAATGAAGTTAAGCCTTCACACAAGTACTATCATATCATAATTTACTTCGCCATGATTAAAGCATACTTTAAATGTTGGTGGAGGTATACTTGAAAGTATTTTGCCAAAGTAACAGTTAAAAATTAGTAGAATAGAAGATTATTTTTAGCTTTTTTTTAATTCCTTCTTATAGAAAATAAAGATAGGGTGGTTTTTTTTTTGCTTTTCTTCAATATCGACTTCCTCCTAAATAAGAAAGGGGGTGGGGTAAGTATAAGACCTAAAAATATGCTCTGTAAAGCTATGGGCTAGTGTAAAATACACAGTCATTCTAATGCAAAAACTATACATGTAGACATAAACTTTTGATTTAGCACACAGTATTCATTACATTTCTTTTAACGTAGAACCTACTTCGTATGACATCATAACTTGTAAATGTGTTAAACCTGTGCTAACCCATTAAGACGTCATAATTAATTCAATGCCACTTTTTCCCGTACTTGACAGCTTCAATAAAAATGGTAGAAAATACTGCATTTTGAAATTCACAGAATTCAATCATGCCAACATAATCTTGATTCAATTCATATATTTTTTGGTTTATAATGCTTAATGGCAATATATTTCTGGAATAAGAGAAAACATGTAGGCACCTTTTATTTACTAGATCTAGACCTGAAGTTGACAAACCCAAGACTATCTAGTGTAATGAAATTACAATGTACATACAACTTTCGTAATAATTTGAATGGTATGTAACCATTTTGAAGGAATGCAAAAATCGTAAGAAATCTTTAGTTGCCAGCTATATAGTGTAATATCTTGATGAAATGTGTCTAAGTCAAAGATGTACGTGTTGTAGATCGTTTGATCGTGTGTACATTTTTGTGATATCTATAATGAAATGATGTGCATTCCTTTTAACAATTATTTGTTACCTATTCATATTCTTGGTGTTTGATTACAATTTTTCTATCAAATATGATCTTTTTAAAGAAAAAGTACAATTTCTGATAAATATTTAATCTGAAAGTAACCCCAAACAGTCATTTAATTATTAAATCCCGTGTAAATGCAAAAAGGTCAAGAATATGAGTATCGGTAAATAGCCTATCTTTCATTAGTTAGAGGGGAAAGGTATATATTTTAATCATTTTTTGTAATCATTTGGCTATGTTCTTCATCATATTGAAGATTGAAAACATTGTGACAAAGACGTCTAAAAAATATTTACAAATATAGGGTGAATAATTGACTAAAAATAATAGAGTTCATTTGACTATTTTTTTTAATGGTGGACTTATCTTTTATATTAATTGAATAAAAAAGAAATTATTCTTGATAAAATATTGTTTAATATTATTCAGTTAAAAAAGTTTATAAACGACGATGTTTGAAGAAGTATTTTTGTGATTTTTCATATTCCCTTTATGACAAGTACCCCTAAAAATATTTGAAAATGTGACGTCGCAGTATGTAAATACCATACCAAGTTTCACAGCCTGTTCTAGATTAAAAAACAAGAAAACATATCATGATATCTTAACTGATTGATGAGCAAGTACTAATTTCTCATCTTGAAAAGTTTGAAAATCTTGAGACAAAGACTTTTCCGACATAGGTTCTACCTTAATTCTTGTTATACTCCACCCTTTTACTCAGTTCTGAGTATATTTTTCAGAGAATTTAATATGAAAATCAGAACAAACATGTTCATTGTAACAGTTGTAACGTCTTCTTTATAATGTATATTAATATGAAAAGTTAATTGAAGACCATTTCTTTATGTCCCCGTAATCGAAGATTCGGGGGTATATAGTTTTATCGTGTTCGTCTGTATGTCCGTCTGTCTATCTGGCGGTTTGTTTGTCCGCAAAAACCTTAACCTTCACCATAACTTTTCATTTATTGGAGCTATGACTTTCATATTTAATATGTATATTCCTTGTGACAAGACCTTACTTTGGGTACCACCAAATTTGACCTTTTGACCATTACCTTGGAGTTTGTCCCATTTTACACAAAAATGCCAAATTTTTACTTTGGCCATAACTTTTAAACGGTAGATACTAGTACTCTCATACTTCAAATATGTAGTTTTTTGGCATTACCTTTCATTGGATACTAAAAACCTTGACCTTTTGACCATGGAGTTTTCCGTAGTTATGAATTTTTTTTTACCTTGGCCATAACTTTTGAACGGTAAGGGCTAGGGTATTCATACTTCACATATGTAATCCTTGTTACATTAAACATTTTCTTAAGAAATCGTCAACTTTGACCTTTGAGTTTGACATACCTTTCAAAAACTTATCCTTAGCCATTACTTTTGAACAAGTGGTGCTAGGGCTTTCCTATTTTGCAGTTGTATTTCTTGTGAGAAGACCCTACTTTGGGTAACAATATATTTAAATTGCATTTAAGAAAAGTTTAATCTTCGCTATGTTGCCATACAGGGGCATAGCTATTTCACAAACACATCTTTTTATATATGAGGATTTGCGGATAAGAGATGGATACCTCAAAGCGTAACAGACGGACGGACGGACATCCCAATCACTATATACATGTACCCTCCCGCTTTTCAAGCGGAGGATATAATAATATATAATACTGCTGATTTTTTCTGTCAGTTCGATGAATTCCACCATCAAAAACAATGTTTACCTAACCCTTAAGGCTTGATAAATCTTTTACTCCTTTTGATTCTGAATCATTGCATTTACCTTAAAATATAGCTATAATTGTATAATGTTATGAGATCAACATATCATCAGTTTATTCCCAATAAGCTCAGGTGAGCATTTTGGCCAATATGCTTCTTTATCCAATTTTTTTTTTTTTTGCCCCCTAAAAATTTTAGCTTTAATCTACAGGGGGTCATTTTTCTACCGGGGTCATTTTTCTTCACGTGGGTTCTGCAAATTTTTAGGGAAGTGACACTTTTTCTACGGGCAGAAGGGTCATTTTTCTACGTCGAATAATGACCGGGGGTCATTTTTCGCTGTCGAAAAATGACCCCCGGTCATTATTCGATGGGGGTCATTATTCGTCTTTACACCGGCAATTGCTCTTTGAGCAATAAGCCCAGCTAAAAATCAAAAACCATTATTTTTTAAGGAATTCCCTCTTAATTACATCTTCCGTAGTAGTCCAATCACTTTGGAACTAAAAGTTTTCTGTAGATGTGCAGTAACGTTTCTGAATTTTTATTTTTCATCTATAGGAGGCATGGGTACCAAATAAACTTTTTACACCTCTTTTAACAAATTCCATGTTTCATTAAATTCTTTAATTCCAGAATAGAAGTTATTTCATTAATATTGGCACATTCTTGCTTTATCAAAATAAGTACATAATGGTTATAAAGGCACACTCACCCCCCCCCCCCCCCCCCACGACATAGGATTTTCGAGTTTGCACAGTTTAGGTTTTCTTTCTTTTGTCAACCTTTTTTTTTAAGGTTGCCACCATCATTCTTTAAAATCGTTGCTACTGGCTTATTGAATGGTGTTTTTTTAAATAAAATATAAATTTGATTCTTAATTTATTTACCAAGGAATGTAAAATATTAATTGAAAAACAAATATTTGTTTTTATTTCCATCTCTTGACATCATCGATATTGTATTCCTTCCCCTCTAAATTTTAATTTCAATTTTACTGTTTTCAATGAAATTGATCCATATGAAATAGAGAACTCTTTTTGCAACTAGAACAATAGATTCAAATGAAGAATTAAATAAATAAAAAAAACATGAAGATGAAGATACATGTACCACATTATAATTAAGTTTTTCATTGATGTTTAAATGTATTAAATAATATAGGTCATATTAATTTCTGTATCGAAGGCAAGATTTGGAGATTAAATTATATGGAAGTGCAGAAAGAGCTCTGATTTGGATCCAGGAAACAGAAAAACTGCTTGAAGTAGAAGCTATAGAAAAACTGAAGGTAAACTGGAAATTTGTCTTCAACGATAAAGATAAAGTTGAAAAAAAGACCCACAATTTTAGTAATACCCGGTACGTTAATTGCTCAGATTCAGATACAATTCTTATAATACTTTGGGAAATTTGAAAAGCATATTTAACAAGAGGTCCATGGGCTTTATAGGTCATCTTTTTAACCATTGAATTTGGTCTATGTTTTAAACCAGAGGCCATGGCATTCACTATTTTGAAAGAAGTACTATTGCACATCATAACTATACATTTAGCATGCTTAGTTTGGTTTAAACGAGGGCTGTTAAAAAATTACGCGGACTTGTTGCACAGGAAAAATATTTGACAAATGTCACACATAATATAAAAGAATCTTTACTTATATGGTCTTCAAAATTTCATATCAAAATGTTGTAAATTGGTATCAGTTTTGGGTGATTTATCTGGACATATCAGTAAGTCACGGAGCAGCAAAATCTTCGACGTCACGGGCATTATAAAACAAATCTGAGCTTTCATTTTATCAACATTTTCCAAGAGTTCCAGTACAGTTTGAGTTACCTTATCTATTCAACATCCATACACCATTTCTTGTCAAGCTTATAATCTATAAAACAAGTAAAACATATTCTTTTCTGTTTTAAAGCCGAAAATCGCAGGTATATATGAGATATAGTGTGACATTGGTCACTCTCAATCACTTTTTTAGCTCACCTGGGCCGAAGGCTCAAGTGAGCTTTTCTGATCACATTTTGTCCGGCGTCCTTCTGTCTGTCTGTAAACTTTTCACATTTTCAACTTCTTCTCAAGAACCGCTGGGCCAATTTCAACCAAACTTGCTACAAAGCATTCTTGGGTAAAGGGGATTCAAGATTGTTCAAATGAAGGGCCACGCCTTCACTCAATGGGGAGATAATTAGGAATTAATAAAAATTTGGTGGCATGTTTTAAAAATCATCTTCTCAAGAACCACTGTGCCAGGAAAAATGAAACTTATATGGAAGCATCCTCAGGTAGTGTACATTCAAATTTGTTCAAATTATGACCCCCGGAGGTAGGGCGGGGCCACAATGGCCGACCAAAGTTTTACATAGAAATATACAGGAAATTCTTTAAAAATATTCTTCTCAAGAACCACTGTGCCAGGAAAGATGAAAGTTATATGGAAGCATCCTCAGGTAGTGTACATTCAAGTTTGTTCAAATCATGACCCCCGGGGGTAGGGCGGGGCCACGATGGCTGACCAAAGTTTTACAATGAAATATATAGGAAAATTCTTTAAAAATCTTCTCAAGAATCACTGTGCCAGGAAAGATGAAACTTATATGGAAGCATCCTCAGGTAGTGTACATTCAAGTTTGTTCAAATCATGACCCCCGGGGGTAGGGCGGGGCCACAATGGCCGACCAAAGTTTTACATAGAAATATAAAGAAAATTCTTTAAAAATCTTTTTCTCAAGAACCACTGTGCCAGGAAAGATGAAACCTATATGGAAACATCCTCAGGTAGTGTACATTCAAGTTTGTTCAAAGCATGACCCCTCGGGGTAGGGCGGGTCCACAATGGCCAATCAAAGTTTTACATAGAAATAAAGGAAAATTCTTTAAAAATCTTCTTCTCAAGAATAGTAAAGCCAAAATTGATCATATTTATATGGAAGCATCCTCAGGTTGTGTAGATTTATGTTTGCTCAAATCATGACCCCCGGGGGTAGGGCGGGGCCACAGTGGACGACTAAAGTTTTACATAGAAATATATAGTAGAATTCTTCAAAAAATCTTCTTCTCCAAAATAGAAAAGCTATAATTGATCATATTTATATGGAAGCATCCTCAGATAGTGTTGATTCAAGTTTGTTGAAATCATGCCCCGGGGTGGGGATGGTGGGGGGGGGGGCAAAATGGCCAACCAAAGTTTTACATAGAACTATATAGGAAAATTCTTTAAAAATCTTCATCTCAAGAAAATCAAAGCTATAATTGATCATATTTATATGGAAGCATTCTCAGGTAGTGTAGATTCAAGTTTGTTCAAATTATGACCCCCGGGGTTAGGGCGGGGCCAGAATGGCCAACCAAAGTTTTACATAGAAATATATAGGAAAATTCTTTAAAAATCTTCTTCTTAAGAATAGCAAAGCCATGATTGGTCATGGGACTACTATAAGATTTAAACTTTTTAATAATAAACCAATTTCTACTTTTTCCTAGCCACAGTGCTCAGGTGAGCGATGTGGCCCATGGGCCTCTTGTTTACAGTCCGGATAAAGTTTCCGTCGATAATCTTCATCCCATCCTCCCGAATAGCCCTTTTACAGAGGTTTAACGGTCTAAAATTCAAATTTGCTATTTGTAGGCAAATGACACGAATACCCTAGTTTACTACATGTTTTATTATGCATGTTTTGGATTTATGTTGACGACACCTTGAGCATAACACATAATTGATCAGAAAGGTGGTGCTCCATAAATTCAGGAGACGTCATTTTCACAGTCATTTTCACAGGAATTGCATCGGAGAAAAATCACTTTATTTCTGTAAATACCTCAAATATCATGTCAGAAATTTAAATACATAATAATAAAACAATATAAAGATACAATTGAGAAAATTGTCGAAAAATATTGCGAATTATGGAAAATTAATGAGTTAAATTTTGGATTCCGCAAGTTTTTGTTTCAAATGTTTTGTCGTGCGCCGTACCTCTCCATCAGCGATATCAACGCAGAGATAATTTTAGGAGAATTTTTTTAAAATACAAAAATTATGCTCAAATTGTATTGGAATCTTTGAGATACATATTTCTGTGAATTTTCATAACTATATGACGTCTGTAAGAGTAAATCAGGGCAGAGTCCGCGTAATTTTTGAACGACCCTCGTAAATACTTTGTTTGGTTTATATATACTTTAAGATAAGAACATGCATTTCAATTAATTAGTAATATTTGACAATAATCAGTTGAGCCCCCACTCCACATGAACACCTGACCCTGGATCGACACATTTCACAATTTTGGAAAAGGTCTTTATATCCTCTTCAGCCGGGGATAAAAATGAAACTTCGAAATGATAACTTTTTCAGGGATTTGATGCACTTCGGTCTGAAATGGATGGGCTGCTACGTTATGTTTCCTCTGTTATGGACCAAGTGCCATCAGAAATGGAAAGCATAAAGAAGAAACTCCGGGCCGTGTACTCTAAAGTAAAGTTATTCAATGAGTGCATATCAAACAAAGAGGAAAGGTAAGACATAAACTGTTAAATATACATGTATGCATCAATGAAAATATGTGTCAACATAATCATGTTTGTTTTTTTTTATCCCCCACAACTATTTATTTATGCTGTTTGTATTATCTTTGGATTAAATTAATATATTTTCTTAGATTTAAAATCTTTTTTCCAAAATCAATTCAAAAACATAACATTTAATTAATTTAATAGCTGTTCTCGATGTGTTCATCAGGGTTGCTGTATCTAACTCTCTCACAAGCATCTTTGTCACAATGAACTATGAAAGCTTTCGTATTAACTGTTCAAAATTTATGATTAAACTCAAGTTTTTGTTTTTTTTAAAGAGGTCAAACCCACAGGTCAAGGTCAAAAAGTAAAAATATTGGTATCAATGGGAACGTCATAGTTCATGAACTTTTAAAGTATGAAAGCCCTGGGAACAACTGTTCAAAAGTGATGACCAAGGTAAAGTTTGATAATTTCTCGAAAAGGTATGTCAAACACCGAGGTCAAGAGGTAACATATTTTGGACCTAAAGAAAGGCCTTGTCCCGAGGGATTTCAAAAAATTTGAAAACCATAGCTCTAACCTATCAAATGTTATAGACAATGTTATAGTTTTTGTGGACACACAGACAGCTAGGCTGACGGATGGACTACGAAAAATATATATACCCCGATTCTTCTATTACGGGTGCATAAAAACACTTATGAAAGGTATAATGACCAAGGTCAAATTTTGCAAAAGTAGGTCAAATTTGAAGGTCAACGTCAAAGGGTAAAGTTGTCGGACGGTATACCTAATAAAGGTCTTATCACAAGAAAAACACGCGTGGAATAGGAGAGCCCTGGATCCTTTTGACAAGATCCTTTACTGGGTATGAAAATATTTGACCTCGTTACATTGACCTTGGAGTTTGACCCACTTTTCAAAAAAACTATAACCTTTGGCCATAACTTTTGAACCATAAGTACTAGGGCTATAAATTTCAAAGGCGTATGTCTTGTGGCAAGACCTTCCTTTGTATACTAATAATTTGGCTTTAGACCTTGACCTTGGAGATTATCCCACTTTAAAAAAAAAACGAGACCATAGCTTTTGAACAGTGTCTACTAATGCATTTATATTTCACAGGTGTAATCCTTGTGAGAAGTCTTGTCATACTTCACAAACACATCTTGTTTATTTTAGAATGAAAATATACAGAGATATACCGAAGAACGAGTCACATAAAAACTCAGCTAGCGTGATGCTTTGAGCTTAAAACCTTCATGCACAATTTTAAGTTCAAGATTGGTAATATGACAACCACTCTGGAGAGTTAGGTTCAATCAATTATATTTTCATATTTACAGAATCACCATAGATATTGATTCTAGAGGAACAATTTTATCATCACCGATCCAAGGGCTGTCTTTGCAAATGTGGGACAACAATGATAGAAATGAACACATGCCTAATCTAGACAGGTCTCTTTTTCAAACCAGTGTCACTGAAGTCTTTAGATTTACATTGCAAGGGAAACCTTACACAGTTCATAGCAAAAATGAGGATGTCATATTGGTTCGCATTCAGATGATAAACTTAAAGAAACCAAATGGTAGACAGTGGCTTTCTAAAGTATGTCATAGAGACATCTGGACCACCATTGAAACACAGACCCAGGTTTGACATTTTTTCTGTAATTTACATTTGAGAAATTCTAATTTGACATTTTACCTCACAATATATTCGAGTGAAAGAATTTTAATTTTGCAGGATGATTGGATATTTTTTGGGATAGAGGCCTTGGAATCATTCTTTATCATAGAATCTGCTGAAGAAATGCCAATGACGATTGACCCTAAAGGAGGAGTGTATATGCATGTTTCAGACCCTAAAGCTCAGATTGAGATACCGAAGGATGCGACAGTTGAACGTCAAATAGCAAACGTTTCGGTGTGTTTTTGTATATATATATATATAACTTGATTGTAAAGCATCTGAAGATTTTTAAATGAAAGCGCTAATGCTTTACTTTGTTGTCTTCGTGTTTTCTTTTTAATTATTTTTTACTATACTACTATACCGACCACTGTGAATTCATGGACTTCTGTATATATATATATATATATATATATATATATATATATATATATATATATATATATATATATATATATATATATTTTAGGAATGAAGCTTATTTCAACTTTTGTTATACCATATAACATAATTTGGTGCAGTTTACGCTTTAGAAACCGCGAAGCTGAGTAATATGTTTTTGACGTAACTCGCTGTGACGTACGCAAATTATTTTATACAAAATGGATAAAATCTTTTACCTAATAAAATTACATATAACAACTAAAATTAAATTAGTTTATATTAAAAGGCCTATATCAAAGGGTGAATCCTCCTGAATAAAAAAAAAATTGTAAATCTCTCTAGACAAGAGATCTAGTTCGTCCGAAGGAATTTCTAATTCGTTTGAACAAATATCTAAATCGTTCGAAGAAATTTACTAATTTTTCTAACAAATAACTAATTTGACCTTTACTCGGCACAAGCGACCATTGAGCTGTAAGGGTTCTTCTTTTTCGAGCAAGCACCTTTTGCGATACGGGACCTCGGTTTATACAGTCTCATCCGAAGGACCGGTCTCACGTGGGATTCGAACCCGCGACGTAAGGATCGACTCCTTACTTCGTGACTCTAGAGCAGACGCTCTAACCACTGCGCCACGCAGGCGAATTATTTTATTTATAATCATCAATATTCTGACAAGAAAACATTGATATAACCATCAATTGACGCCCGGGAAATTTATAAAGTAAACAATGAAAATGAGTCTTGATCTAGTTTGATACTGCTTCGATATGTGTGTTATTGATGGTGACGATAGTGTCGCGAATATTTTGAAAACTTATATGTCGGATAAAAATCAAACAAAAACTATACTATTTTAAACTAGATCAATTCCTCAAGTAAATGTTGGCTTCATAAAATATAAATTGAAGTTAGACACATGCATCACCTACAGGCACGTAGCATCGTTTTTGAAAGTGGGGGTGCCATCCACCAGAGAAAAATTTTTTTTTGTTTACTTACCTGAAAAAGTTGACAAGCAAAAAAAAAACCGCAAAATATCATTTGCCGAAACTCGAAAATCCTATTTCGTCGGGGGGGGGGGGGGGGGGTTAGTGGCCAAGTTTTTTTTAAGGCCAAGTAACTTTCACTTCCAATTTTTTCGTACAATTCCTTGATATCACTATACTATAGTAGAAAGTGGGGGGGCCAACCATCCTTTCAATGAACATTTACTATGGTAAAGGTAATGTTGGGAAAAAAGGCCCCCCTGCCCCCCCCCCCCCCTGTTGCTACGTCCCTGACCTATATTCAAAAATGTATCAATTTTCAATTTTAGAATATAAAATACGAACTGTGCAGAGTACGTTTTATGCGAGAAGTAAAAGTCGATGTTCTAAAGAAAAAAAAAGGAACCTGTCATTTTTTGATAGTACATGTATATGAAAGCAACTTGATATATTAAATATGAAAAACATATATATTTTTACAGATTCACTTTATGGAAGTAAATGTATTATGTATCTCGTAATTTATAAACGAAAAGAACATTCTGCTTTACAATTTTTTCAATGTTTAAAAAACCTTTAATTCTAAATAACTACTCCCACCCCAATCCCCATACACCAACACTTAAACTTATATGTATAGAGAAGCCGGGTGTCCCGGGCTGCAAAAAGATACTGCTGAATGTTCTCTATCAATTCCATTATTGATTGACGACCCTTTCGGAATGCAGATGTGTGTCACCTATCTGTTGAGTATAGGAGCTGTTAGCGTTTAAAAATTTCTCCGAGGCTGAAATTGTTTTTAGGCCAAGTTGCAGTGCCTCAGAATGGAGTTCCTGGTTGATCTGCTGCCAGGGTATATGGCTTGTGTTATCAGCTTTGCACAGACAAAATTTTGTCATCATGCAAAGAAGCTGCCTTTTCTCTACCATTTGCATTAAATTTCTGTACAATTGCCATGTACTTAATCATGATTCGAAAATTCTCTCAATACATTGACACAGAAATGTGTTTATCAGTTGATTGAAAGATTCTATGCTCTTGTGCTGAAGAGTTATTTCATTGTTTGGACCTTGCCCTTCCTGCAATTTTGAGTATGGATTTTTGAACAGCAGAGCACCAAGTTGGATATATTCTTCTGCCCAAATTTTTGCCTTCAATTTCTTGTGCACAATCCTAAGGGACGACCTGAAGATAATGGAATGGTTGCATTTATAACATTACCAAAGTTGCTGCACTGCTTGTACTCTGTTGACTAGGCTCTTCTTGATAGACTGTTGCTACAGCATTGTTAGTTGGAGGTGGTTGACTTACATCCAAGCTGGTTACGCTAACTAGACCCTTGCTCCGTTGGTGGATGTGAAATATCTCCCTTTAATTTCTGAGTTACCATTTCTACAATGTTTGGCCAAAGGATCATCAGATTTTATACACAATATGAAGCTTACAAAATGATTTTATAATGACTCCTTGAAAGTTTCATAAAAAATTCGGTTTAACAGAGGAACTGCGAATAAGAGATGGGTACCCCCAATCATATGGAAAGATTAGAAGTGTCTATTTTTTGTTTTGGAGAACCCGAAATATACCCAGTATATCCAATCAAATAGTATAATGGTAAATGTAGTAAAAAGGTGCACAATGGCAATTTGCAACAAAGATTCATTGTAAGCCTCATTAAATTTTATTCAGTGGTTTAAGAGGAACTATAGATAAATGATGGGACCCCAAAGCTTAACGGACGGACGTACAGACGCAGGAAAGGACAACAGAAACCCCCAATCACACCTCTTTTTAAATGGATGATATAATAAGATTAAAAAATATAAATAAAATAATTTTAATTTACCCTACGACAGTCCTCTGTTTGGGTTCTTTTTACAACCAATGAGTAATTAAAAGGGTAGAGACAGTCATCACCTGTGACAAATCCAAAATACTGGTAGTTCTTTTTGGGAGTTCAACGAAATTCCTATTTTTTTTATGTCTATGTATTTTTAAAAAAAAATTAGTTTCTAATTACACAAATGATAAATTTTGTAAAATGTGTACATGTTGTTACAGGTTGTCTTGATGGAAACACCGTCTTTCTTGGGATTTACAATGATTTCAAAGATAGTTCGAACCTCTGCACACTTTTTGAAACCAGTTACCGTCCACTTTCCTGAAACAATTCAATCCACTGATAGTAATTTAGCCTCTTTCCACTTCGACATTATCCATGAGAAGTTGACGATTGATTTCACTCACACCATCAAACAAGAAGGGGGATGTTTCATTGCCCTTGTCTCGGAATTTAGCGAGTAATGAAATCGAATTTTTGAAAAATGATATTTTCATTCAAAGATGATAAATAATTATTCTATGATGATCTTTCCTTTGATATTCTGTACGAAAAACCTTTAAATGAATGCAATGATAAAGATACAAGCTGCTCTGTTGTTCTTTCAGGACTGGCATCGTTGCTGTTCCTAAAAGCTATTCCCAGCAAAGTGGAAGTTTTATCCTTCCATCTCATGAATATAAGCAGAACAGAAAAATGGAATTCAAATGCAAATCACTGACATATGTTTCCAAAGAAAGAGAAGACTTTGCCCAATTATGGTGTGAAGTTGTTTTAGTAGATAACATAGATGAAAGAAGAACGATGATGAAAATAAAAAATTCAGAGTTCATGGAATTGAAAGAGTCCAATGACTTTTTTCTGAAAGAGGACGACCGTATACGTGTTAACGTTACTGGATTATTTAACAATAGTAAACAAAAACTGTATAATATCATTAGATTCAATGTTTCAACAGACAATCATATCATTTTACCCTTGGAAAAAACGGGCAGGGAGATAAACTCCAAAATTTCGTATGAAAAATGCATTGGAAAAGATAAATACTTGTGGCAGATGTCCGTAAATATCGAGATAATAAAAACAGCAGCCGTGAAATCTCTTCAAAGACAACGCACAAGGGAAGGTACATGTATAAATTTAATATTTTGTTCAATACATAAATATATTTTCATTAAATGAATATTATTTTCATTTATCTCTTTAAAAAACATTGCCTTTTATCTGTCCTTAAAAAACTCTATGACATCATTGTTATAAGTCTGCGTATATATTACCAATTCAATCAGCACTAGTTGGATATTTAAAAGATCCAAATGGCCATCAGTTGAATATTTAAAATATCCAACTGCCTTTTGTTTGGATATTTAAATATCCAACTGAGGTGCATAAAGCAAACAAAAAAAAAACAATGAACAAAAGAGATAAATCAATTTTAAAATGTATTTCCAATGCATATGAAAAATAATTATTACTCCAAATTTGCCACACTATTAGAATTAATTTCCAGTGCACACGGATTTATCGTAATTACGTCGCATTAATCATGTTTCAAATGCACTTCCACTGCTCACAGAAAAAATTCCTCCAAATTTTACTCCCTTTTAGAAATGTTTTCGACCTCACATCACTTTTTGACACTTAAATACATTTTAACCTTGAATCTTAAACTACATCACTTACTGCTGAATATTATTTCAGGGCCCGTTATCAGTAAATCCCTTCACATGCTTCAGATTATCCGAGATTCATCTCTGTTTCATACTTTTCCGGCGTACTTCCCCAAATTACTTAATTAATTGACGGTCAATCTATTTTTCGACACCGTTTGTAAACCACTCTAATTTACTTTGGATTTTAAAATATTCCTCGTCTGATTTCATGTCTGTTCAGTACAATGAAAAGGGTTGAAATGAAATCAGCACCATGTAGTTTCATGCTCACTAATCCACGAATAAACGGAGTGTTCGATTAGGCTATTGTTTTCTGTCACGGTTGGATATTTGAATGTGCTACATCACTATTGTATTACAGTCAAGTTTGATATTTGAATGTGTGAATGTTTTTGTGGAGCCAAATGTAGGAATTTTTTAAAGTAAGATAAGTAACTCGATAGTGTTGAATAGTTTAGAGAAAATATCCCTTCCCTTCCTCGGGCCTTCGACCCTCGGAGAGAGTGCTTTTTCTAAACCATTCAACACCATCTCGTTATTTATCCCTTACATAAACGGCATTAAACAAACAATGACTGTTTCATATGATGTGCCGTTTTGGTATTTACTTGCAAAAAGTGATATCACCTGTTTCAATAGGTGATATCACTTATTCGAATAGGTCATATCACCTATTCAAATTGGTGATATCACCTAATGGAAATAAATAGATGATCTCACCTATTCGAATAGGTGATATCACATATTAGAAATGAATAGGCGATATCACCTATTCTAATAAGTGATATCACCTATTCGTGATGAATAGGTGATATCACCTATTCGAATAAGTGATATTAGCTATTCGAATAGGTGATATCACCTTTTCAATTTGAATAGGTGATATCACCATTTCGAATAGGTGATATCACCATAGTTTCATCAGTTGCATGTGCATAAAATGACATACAGTATACGTCTATAATACAATATGATTATATATAAATCAAATTTAGATCAAATGTAATTTAATTTCATTAAATGTAATATAATTTCATTAAATGTAATTTAATTTTATTAAATGTAATATAATTTCATTAAATGTAATATAATTTCATTAAACGTAATTTAATTTCATTAAACGTAATTTAATTTCATTAAATGTAATTTAATTTCATTAAATGTAATTTCTTTTCATTAAATTACATTTAATCTCATTAAATGTAATTTAATTTCATTAGGAAGTCTATGTAATGTAAACGTGCGATAAAGTAGCATACACGTTAAGCATGTTTTATCAAGATAACATAGCTGTATATTTTTAAGGATCACCGGAAAACACCAAATTTTTGTATATTTGTTGGAAAATAGGTAATAATTTTATATAGAGAGCTTAACCGGTTTCATGGAAATAACGCGCTCACAATAGAGCTTGTCCGAAAACTTTTTTAACAACACTCGTGTATTGTGAAACAGAAAATGGTAGCATTTTATCTATTAATTTTTTCATTACAGTTTATGAAGTTGTTATGTCGTCTACAGTAGAAAGCATTTATAATTTGTTTTTTTAAACTATGAGATACATTTTTTTCCAGGTTTTGCCCTAGAGGAATTCAAGAGTTTTCTTCATCACTATGAGCTCGGAAACTTAATTGAGACGTTTATAAAAAATGATATCACCGGCTTGAAAGTGTTTCTAGGATTAAGCGAAGAAGATCTAAAAGAGCTATCTCTATCTTTGGGACATCGCAGATCGTGTTTGGCCGCCATTAAAGATTATAGAGAAAGACATGGAAAATAATTTTTTTAAAAATGAATAAAGGAAGGGATTTTAAGCATTATGTTGCACATGAATGATAAGAATATTTTTTTCTGTAAGACTAATTATACCAGGCAAACTGGATCCAAGAAGCTATTTCGTCAGATGCTCAAATACATTAACTGATCTTTGTGGCATGTTTTGTTTTTCATTTTCTTTCTATATCATCTGCTTGAACCATCATTTAAAAAGGTTGTGAGTTATATTATTTCTAAGGATCATATCTATTCGATATTTTAGGGATTGTAATTTTTTGACGTTCAAAATTCTCGGTTCTTTGCTATTCAATTATTGTACAGATAAAAATGCAGCTTAGCGCACTGTTCCTGCTCTGCTAGACTGTTTACGTAGGTCGAGAGTTTAACAAAGTGTAGGGTTGGGAGTGAGTATCATTAATAACATGAAGTGTTCTTTTACTGTTTTATAACACCGATGAAACCGAGAGGGCTATAGGTTTCCTTTACATCTTTCCGTACATCTGTCTTTCTGTCCTACTAGCTGTCTTCTGTGTGATTCATTTTTTTAGATAAAGGATTTTATCGCCTGTCCCTAAAAAGGCGTCAGAGCATAAGTTAGTCCAACCATGTGCCATATATCTATGTATAAGAATATATATGTAGAAGTTCTGAAAATATTATGTTCTTTAAGTAGTGTACTGTATATTTAAAAAATGGCTAAATAAATCATACCGGCAAAAACTTTTTTTATCAAATTATCAGGTAAGTGCTTCAATATATTGTAATCTGCTACAGAAGATATCAATGATAGATTTAAAGACCCAGTAAATAGAAAAATTGTGAATTTTTGTGTTTTAGATTTGTCTTTGTTGTAGTTTTGGATATATTTTCTGCCTATACCATTTACCATTCGAAAGAATACGTCTCTTGTTTATTGACTTTTTAAAAAATCCTCAAGTTTATGAAAAAGAGTTCTTGAATGTACAGTATTTACACAAATATATTATACTGATTTCATGTATAAACCCGTAGGTAGATTGTTGTATTTTGTAAAAAAAAAAATTGTGAAACACTTGAATATTAAATTCTTCATGTAGAACAAAGCAAAGAGATTTCTTTCATAGACCGATTTTTAATCACATCTGTCCTCTTTGAATTTTTGATTTGAAAATAGTCTTTTTTATTAACTACTAGTATCTCAAAAAAAGAACTGTGAGAAAGCAATTATATGGATTTACTCTATTGTTTAAAAGAACCATCTCAAAGTTAACATGAATTTTCATATACAGGGTATATATATTATACTGATTACATGGATGAAACCGTCGGCAAATCGTTGTATTTTGTATAAATTTTGTAAAACACTTGGATCAGAATTTGTTTCAGTTATTGATTCTTGGAGGTTTTTCTTCTACAAGTCAACTAAACAAAATTAGCGGCATGCCTTCTAACATCCTTGCGTCTCCATATGAGTGAAAAAATCTCGAGAGGGACGTTAAACAATATACAATCAATCAATCAATCTAACATCCTTACGTCGCGGGTTCGAATCCCACTGTGGGACGTGGAAACCGGTCCTTCGGATGAGACCGTATAAACCGAGGTCCCGTGTCGCAGTAGGTGCTGGCACGAAAAAGATCCCTCCATGCTCAATGGCCCTAAGTGCCGAGTATAGGACAAAATCTGCAGCTCTCCACCGGCAAGTGGTGGCGTCTCCATATGAGCGAAAAATTCTCGAGAGGGACGTTAAACAATATACAATCAATCAATCTAACAGACCCGCGTGGCGCAGTGGTTAGAGCGTTTGCTATAGAGTCGCGAAGTAAGGAGTCAGTCCTTCTGTTGATATGCCTATCAGGGCTAATCATAGATGAAACATTTCTTACATGAACACAACGTTTATTCAAGCATGGCGTCTAAACATAACAACAAATTACAAGCATCCCGAGCCCAATCATAATACATCAACATCCCCCTTCTACGAAAGATGTACATTGTATAAACAATTAAACTGAACATTTCCCAAATAAATGATCATTAACTGTTAATTAACTTTCTAACAAAATAATCAAATAGAATCAAACAGTATCTCAATCAATTTTGGACATAGTCTTTCAAGCATGCTGGTTTCCTACGGATCCTTGATGACGGTTCACGCGATATTGGCATTGCACGAGTATCTGGTGTAATATCCTTCTGAGGCTTGCTGACGGCAGTTTCTGAAATCGAGTTTGGTACGCAATGTTGTTCGTTCGAGTCTGTAATCACCGGTATCTGTTTGCTAGACATACACTCGTTTGGTCCACTAAACGGTTTTGGAAATTCACAGAGTTCACGTTTGCTGATTGGTTCATCACGAACTGGAGATTGATCATGAATATGGGTCTGTATTTTAGTTGGTCTAATATGAATTCGGTTCCTTCGATATTCGACTCCTTGTTGGTCCGCAATAACGTATGTTCTCTGTCCAAGTATTTGAATCACTTTCCCAAGCTTCCAATTTTGTCCTTCCCGTTGTTGGAAATAAACGGACTGTCCAATATCGACTTCAGGTAAGTTACGTGCTTTTTTGTCGTAAGATTTCTTCACGGCAATCTGTCTGGATCTGTGTTTGGACTTCACTATTCCAAAATCATTGCTCACTCCAGATCTCATAGGGAGTGTAGCACGTATCTCTCTGTTGAACATCATCTGTGCTGGACTTAGACCGGTATCCTGCCTTGGAGTACGATGTTGTTTAAGTAACGCTTCATACGGGTCTGTTCCATCCTCCTGTGCTTTTATCATCAGTGTTTTGATGATCTTCACCGCAGATTCAGCCTTTCCGTTTGCTTGCTGATGCATCAGAGATGAGAATTTGTGATCGATCTTCCAGGTCTTCACAAAATCCTGAAATTCTTGACATCGAAATTGTGGTCCACCATCCGGTATTATAACGTTTGGTATGCCAAATCTAGAGAACTGTTTCTTAAGCAATGAAATCACTCTTGTGCTTGTCGTTGTTGGTAGGTAATCTACCTCAATAAAACTGGAAAAGTAGTCTACCGAGACCATGTAGTGTTTTCCTTGTATCTCGAATAAATCTAGTCCAATTTTCTGCCAAGGAAATTCACATGTTGAATGCTGAAGTAAAGGTTCCTTACAGTTTCTCGGTTTTCTTTCCTCACAAATTCCACAATAATCTGCAATCTGTTTAATGTCGGATTTCATCCCAGGCCAAAAAATAACACCACGAGCTCTCCTAATCATACTGTCATATCCTAGATGTGCTTTGTGTAATCGCATCTTCATTTCTGATCTGAGTGCCTTTGGAATCACGATTGCTTCACCTTTCAAGATGAGTCCATCTTCAAAGCTTAGTGTGTCACGAAAATCAAAGTAATGACGCACACTCGTTGGAAGATCTTGTTTACTGTCAGGCCATCCATTGGCTATGGTGTCGGCCAATATTTGCATCTCTGAATCTTTAGCAGTCATGTCCTTAATTTCTTGAATTCTGATATCTGGTACATCATTTTCTCGTAGCCTCGGGACAGATAGAATCCTATGACGCTCATCTACACTTCCTTCCGTTGTCATGAGAAAAGCTCGGCTTAGCGTGTCCGCTATCACAAGGTTTACTCCTTTCTCAAATACGAATTCTACATCATATCTGAAGTAACGCATCATAATGTCTTGCAGTCTTTTAGGTGCTAGTCCTAATGGTTTGCGCAATATAGCAGATAATGGTTTGTGATCATTATGGATGAAGACTTTCCTTCCATAAGTGTACTGATAAAAGCGTTCAAGTCCATAGAGAACGGATAAAGTTTCCTTTTCTATCTGAGCCCATTTTCTCTCTGCTTGTGTAAGAGCTCTTGATGCGTACTCGACCGGCTTTCCATCTTTGAGTAGTGCGGCACCAATTCCTTCTTTGCTACTGTCGACTTGCAATGTGACATCCTTTGCTGCTTCTTTACTGTCACAACATCCAGCAATAATAATGTCATCAACAATGCTAAACACACCTTCCAGTCCTGATAATGCTTCGTCTAGCCGTCGCTGGAAGATTTCACTGGATACTTTCAATCCAAAAGGTAAACGAGCCCACCTGTATCCCCCGAATGGCGTTATCATAGTAGTAAGTTTGCTCGATTTCTCATCAAGGCGAACGTGCCAAAACGCTTCTTTAACGTCAAGTTTGCTAAATACCTTAGCATTCGTTAGTTTTGGAAGTACGTCATCTAATACAGGTAATCTGTAGTACTCTCGTATCAGAGCTGTGTTCAGAGGTTGTGGATCTTACAAACTCGCAACTTTCCGTCTGACTTGTGAGCCACGGCCACCTGACTAACCCACAATGTTGGTTCTGTCATTGGTATCAAAACACCTCGATCAACAAGTCTGTCAATTTCTTGCTTAACTGAGTCCTGGATAGCAATCGGTATTTTCCTGCACGGAAGTACTTTGGGTTGAATACTGGGGTCAACTTTCAGAGTTGCTATTCCCAAGTCACCAAAAGGCTGTTCTAATCCAACTTTAGATATGAACTTTTCACTGTTCACAGTCACAAGTCCCATGTCTTGAAATGCATCTTGCCAAGTAGACAGGTAAGATTGTTTTGCACTACTACAAATCTAAGTTTCTGGACGACAATGGAACGCATATTGATTACATCAAGATCAGCTTCACCGAGGGGTTTCATATGAGTGTTGTTCCACATGCTAAGACGAATGTTTGACGGACGACACTGTTCCTTCTTCACATATTTCTGACAAATGGTATTTACGTCAGCTGCACTGTCCAACTGAAAACATACGTCGCAATCATTTACGTTCATAATCGCAGTGATGTCTTTGCTCTGTTTGTCTTTGCTTTTCAACGCGAGAAGCCAACTGTCTTCTAACTCTGGACTGTCTTCACTATCTTCACCCACTGCATGTATTTTCTTACATTTGGACTTAAATTGATTTCTCCTGTTGCACTTGTCACATCTTTTGCCCAATGCCGGACAATTTGATTTGCCATGTTCATGTTTATAACCACAGAAATCACACTCTTTCTTCTCCTTGCTCGAAGGCTGTGAATCACTTTTCTGTTTGTGTGTCACTTTCTGCTTTGTGAAGTTTTTCTGTCGTTTGTTTGTAGATAGTTTATTCACTTTGTTAGATGAAGTGATGTTTTCTCGCAGCTCTTTCACATGTATGTTTGACTGTTCAAAAGCCCTACATATCTGAATTGCTCTGTTCAAAGTCAATTTGTCTTCTCGTAACAATAGTTCTTGTAGCTTACCAGTAGCTGTAAATACACGCATCATCCTCTCCTGTTCAAGGAAATTACATGACGCTGCACGTGTTCTTAATTCTGTAAGAAATTTGTCGAAGGCTTCCTGATAAGGTAACTTCCAGAATCTGTGAGACTCTAACACTTCGTTGGAACGAGGATTACAATAGGCCTGTAGCTTCTCATATAACTTAGCAGGGTCATTCTCATGGGATTCGTCTTCCCACTGAAACTGGTCATATATCTCGACTACATGAGGTCCACCACAACTCAAAATAATTGCTACTTGTACCTCTTTACTTTTGTCGATTCCTCCTGA